TTTTCCAGTGGAAAAAGAAGTTTCCTTAGCATCCTGACAGTTCAACTTATAAGCAAATAAAATAGTAGCAATCTAATCATCAGTGAGTCATACATGTGGGAGCAGAGAACTCAGCCCGAGGAGTATCTGCCCCTCGCATCGCGTGGTGCTGCTCCAGCGTCATGCGCAAAGGCTGCTTTGTGCGGCAGCGAGCCGGCGAGGAGGGACGGGAAGGCTTCGAGATGGGCTTCATCCAAATGTCCACAATCAGAGAAAATAGAAAATAATTCTCCTACGGCTTGAGCTACCGCCAAGAAATGAGCTGCAGCACAGCCGGGGCCTGGAGCGAGCCGCGGGGTGCCGGGGGTCAGGATCCGCTGCGGTTATGGGGGGTCAGGACAACAAAACCCCAACCTGCAGCCCCCCGGGCAGGTGCTGAGGCTGCTGCAGCACCTCTGCTGCCCCATGGGTGCTGCCCTGCAGCTCGGGGCTGTGCCAGCCCTGCTGGCTGCCGGACAGGGCTGTGGTTCCCTGGGGATCACCGCACACCACCGGGGCTCGGGTGGCCCTGGGGGGCATCGGAGCGGCTTTAAGTCGATGGCGAATTAGCCATGCACTGGGGCTTATTTATGCTCGTAGCACTGTGGTCTGAATATTTCATTTTAAAATTTACATCTGTGTCACTAGCAACGCTCAAATAAGGTTGCCATGGAAACCCCTCATTACAGGCAGAGGATGCTGGCGGCGCGGGGCGGTGGCAGAGCGCCGCGGCCGGGGAGGGCAGGAGGACACGGGGCCCTCGCTTCCCTGCACCACGGCAGCTCCGTGCTGTCCGTCTGTCCTGCAGGGAAAGCAGCACGTGGGGAGGGCAGGGCTCAGCAGGGTGCTGGGGTCCTCCCTGTCCACTGAGCTTGCACCAGGGGCCAGGTCCCAACAGACACCACGTCCCCAGGACACCACGTCCCCACTGCGGGGAGCGAGCGGGGGCGAGGTGCTGGAGAGCTGCTGCTGGGGATGAGGGGGGCTGGAGGGGCTCTGGCATTGCTCAGGTGTTCCCAGCAGGGATCAGGAGCAGCTGAAGGATGCTGCAGCCACACACAGGTTGGCAGCTGCAAGAAATCCCCTTCTGAAAGCGCTTGGCCTCAGCTCCGGGCTGAGAGGGGCCAAAAAGCCCCGAGGCCAGGCTGAGGGCGAGCAGGGGTTGTGGCAGGGGTTGTCCGGGGGGGCGACACGATGACATTTTGGCAATGAAACGCTTGTCCAAAAACCCACTTTAAGGGAGGATCTGTACTGCTTGTGCCTGCCTTGCTTTAGCACAACAAATACACGAATTAAACTTGCAAACCTCTCCCCCCATGCTCCGGAGAAGCTTGTAACTGCTCTAACGATCCGCGGCCGCCTGACAGATGCCTGGAAATTATACACTTCTCCGAGCTATGAGGAAAATGGATTTTCCTCCCCAGTGCTGCTTCATGGAGCCGGAATCGATACGACTTTGACTCGCAGGCATTTGTTTTGGCCACGCCAGCTCCCGTGGCTCCGGGAGCACTTGGTGATGCAGTGGCTGCTGCCTGTGCTCCCCGTGTCCCCACAGACCAGGCACGGGCACCCCTCTCCCGTGGTGGCAGGGTGGTGGCATGGAGAATTTCCCCTTCCTAGGGCTGGGCTTCACCCGGTGCAAGCAGAAGGCTCCCCGCGGGGTCACCCTGCCCACCAAACCTCCACGCTCAGAGGTGTGCCCCAGGCTGGCCCCTTCCAGCCCCACCACCATGGGATGGGACCTGCCCAGCCCCACACAGCCCCCCCCGTGTCACTGCCCCCTGAGCCCCCAGGTCGCTCACACAGGGCAGGGGGCGAGGGCAGCACAGCGGTGCCGGGGTGCTGGTTCCTCAGCGCCAGCCCGCAGGGAGGCAATGGAGCATTCTGGCAGCTTTTCAGGCTACAAATTGAACCGGGGGAAGAGAAGCTCCTTCTTTCTCAACTAATCATCCAGCCTAGTCATCTATATCAGGGTATAAAATTAAATGGGTTCCTAAAGAGAGAGTATATTTAGACACAAAAAGCCCATTCTAGTCAGCTATCTGAGACTAAAATAATTAATCTTCCATCACTATTAAGATGCGCTGTAGCAGATCTTGGGAAGTGAGTGCTGCGGTTAACCCTTGGGGAGCAGAGCCATGGTGCTCCTGGGACCCTCCTGAGCTGCCCCACACCGGGAAGGGTCCGTACAGCACAGCCAGCAGGGCTTTGCCCCAAAAACTCTGATGACCCCAAGGCGCTGGGAGCAGGGTGCCAGACAGGGGCTGTCCGCGTGTCCCTCGGTATCCCCCTGCTCAGAGCACCCACGGTGCTGGGCTGTGAGCTGGTGGCCTCCTTCCCCTGTCCCCTGCTCCCCCCACCTTCACTCGTGTCCCCTGTCAGCCCCATCCTGGCCCTGGCACGCATGGCAGCGGGCACAGCAGCGCTGCACCAACAACTATCTGGGTTAGCTGAACCCGCCTGTGTCTGGGCACTGCCGGGAAACAATTACAAACACACAGCCCCAAAACATCTGGGACACAAAGTTTAGGCTTAATTATAACAGATCAGTATTTCTCCGCGTAGTTATAAATCATTCATGCTCTCGCTCCCAGGCGGTCACAGCCGTGGATTATCCGACTGTTCAAAATCTCCTGATTTTGTTCTACCTGTCTGGGGCGCGTTCGCTGCTTGGTTTGATTTGATTTCCACTCCGGAAAAGAAAATAAGAAATGACAACGCAGCGTCAGGGGCTCAGGTGAGCAGAACCGCCCCGCGCTCCTCACCACGACATCGCAGCCTCGCGGAGGGCTCCTGCCGGAGCTGCCGGCACAGCTCCGTGCGCAGGGTACAGCCGAGCTGCCTTTGCCAGAGCTGCTTGGCAAGGCTTGTATTTCTTTCACAGCATGTAACAGGAATCCAAATGTGGATCCCGTCCAAGCTGCCAGGAGCAGAACAGACAGGCGGCAGCCTCGGGGGGCTCAGGTGGCTCAGGGGGCTGCTGGCTGCGCTGTGTGCCTGCCCGTGGGGCACTCGGGGCACCCCGAGGGAGCTCTGCTGGGCAGGGTGGGCAGGGGCTGGCCAGGGGAAGGCTGCAGGAGGGTGGCCCAGGGGTGTGGGGGCTTCTCCCACCCCCCGGCTGTGTCCACCTGCATGCCCCTGCCTCCCCAGGGACAAAGCTGGGCTCTGCTCCGGCACGTTTCTGGGTGCCGCGGTGGCTCTGTGCCGCTGCAGCAGGGTGCTTGCCCCTTCATCTCCCTTACCTGCCCCTGGGGGCACAAACTTTCCCCAATAAATGCCGTTGTTTGCATTCCCTCCCCTGGCAGAGGCTGTGCAGAACCTCCCCTCCTGCTGGCTGTCCCTGCCTGCTGCCCTTGAAAAGACCCCTGGTGCACTCCTCCGAAATTACGCGGCTCTGGCGCCTAATGATTCCTGACAGATTGCGAACAGTCCCGCTGCTCGCAATCAGGAAGGCAGGAACAGTGTTGGGTTACTGATGGCTGTGGTTATCGCACTTATTGGGCTGCATCGATTACGGGGCTGCCGGAGCTCCGGAGGCTGCCAGCACCGGGGCAGAGCCCAGCACCCCCAGCCCCATGCCGGTGCCAGGCTCGGCACAGCAGCGGCATCACCGGCACGAGGCGCAGGGACAGGGCGCGTGCTGCTCCCAAACGCTGTTTGTCAGCTTGAAACCCCACGGGGCGACGTGATGCGCTTTGTCAGAGTCACCTCCACCGCTACTTGGCATTTTCCCTCAGAGGAAAGCAACAAAAGCATCCAGCTGCCAGTGCCTCACCGTGTCACAGCAGGTTGGGTCTGGCCGCACCCATGTTTAGAAAAGGTTTGGCTACAGAAATGTAAACTTCAATTTTTATATTTTGCTTTTTTTGTTGTTTTTTCCTGCAAAAAATGGGTTCCTGCTGGAGGCAGAGCAGCAGCTCTGGGCTGGCAGTGGGGGCACTAGGACGGGGCCCCCAGCCCACCCATGGCCACCACGCCGGGCAGGCGGGCAGCTGCTGCTCCTCCCCACCTTCCTTCACTTCAGTGGCACTGCTCTTTATAAAATTAATTGTCGGCTGTATCAGTCATCGGTGAGCTGTGTTTCAAGTATGGCCTGGCAGAACTAATTCCATTTCTGCGCTGTGTCTTGCTGGATGATGATAACCTATGTACGGCTTCTCCCACAGAGCCCAACGACGAGCCGTTGCACTTTATTTTAATTAATATGGATAGCAAAGATATTTCCATTAGCCGTCGCCGTGTCAGCCAAGAAGCAGGGTCCTCCTGCATGGTGGCAGAGTGGCAGTACCCTCCCTGCCAGAGGCACGGCACAGCCCCATGGCACAGCCCCATGGCACAGCCCCACGGCACGGCCCCACGGGGCGGCTGCACCCTGACCCAGCGCTGCCCTGCCCGGCAGAGGCATCGGCACAGCACCGGGGTGCAGCCTACCAGCCTGGTATTGGTGACATTACCCGTCAGACCTTGGTAAAAATTAATCTAGCCATGCTGCTCGATAGGAACAGCCCCCGGGGCTGTGGGGGAGTGCGGAGGCTGCGGGGCTCCCTCGGTGCCCACCAGGTGAGTTCTGTGGGGCCGGCTTTGGGGCCAGGCAGCGAGCGTGCTCTGAAACAAAGGACTTCTCGGAGGCCCTCCTCCCTCCGATACAGGAGGACATGCAATTATAAGGTATGAGAGTAATTTCTGAGATTTGGAACAATTAAACCGGCTCCCTGGTATTTCTGACGAAAGCAGTCCCTTATTCCCCAAGGAAGTAAAAGCCTTCCTTGACCTCTGCTCTATTATTCCATTTGATTGATCTTAATTATAACAGAAAGGATAATGATAGCCTTTGTGGGGGTGCAAGTACATCGGGAACAAAGATGACAAGCTCTTTGTTGAGAGCGCGAGCGCACCAGGGCATAGATGGCAGGCACGGCCGCTCGGAGCAGCCCCTGCGCCCTGCTGACGAGCCCCCCCCCCGCTAACGAGCCCCCCCTGCTAACGAGCCTCCCAGAGCTCAGCAGCTCCACGTGCCCCAGGAGCCAGCACCCACAACCAGTGCCTGGCCCTCAGCTCGTGGTGGGGGTCCCACCCAGGCGAGCAGTTCGGGGGTGAGGGGTGGCACAGGAACACATCTCCCTCCTTCCCCCCCAGCAGCTCCATACACAGGAAACAAAATACGTAACCAATTGCTTGTTTTGTTCATTAAGCACAGCTGGATTGATTTCAGTGCAGCAGCCCCTATATGCTGGCCCTCAGGCTGCTCCCACAAGCCCTGCCTCATGCACGCAGTGCCTGGGGGTGCCAGGGGTGCAGCAGGAGCAGGGCTGGCCCCTGGGTCCCTGCAGGGAGGCTCCTTGGGGGCAGCTTTCCAGCTTGCAGTTTCTCTGCTCCCATCAAAATGAGGATTTGGCAGGTGCCTGACACCGCAGTTGCTTTACTGCTCCTGCTCTGGGGGAGAACATCACCAAACAAGCCCAGCCGCAAGCGCTTTGATACCTGGATCAACGCGCAACTTCGTCAGATGCTCCTCCCGTATTCCTGCACGACACCCACGTCCTATTGCTGGTGCTGGTGCGTGTTCCCCGGCGATATCGTTATTTTTGACACACCCTGCTGGCTGGGAAATGCAGTGAGAAAATACCTGACTCTGCTCTTCCCAGCAGGTAACAAATCAGCAAATTATAAAAGAGCAGTGTGTGGTCCAGCCCGAGTGCGTTTCTTTCCTACTACCGCTATTGTTTATGCTCCTATGGGGTAACAGTTGTTTTTAATGTACCTTTGATGGCAGCATAGCATGATGAAGATTGATTTCACAGATACGTCTATCTGTTTTTAAGGATTGTCTCTCTGATGTGTGATTGGGAATGCTCAAGGAATGACCAGCAGCTGCTGAAGTGGATCTGTGCCGTCTCCACGTGGGGACAGCCCTCAGGTGCTGCTCTCCAGGCTGGCAGCACCGTGTTTAACCCAGGCAGCTGACACCAGGACCCGGACCCCCCCGTCTGCCCCTCGCAGGGCGCTCAGCATCTCCCCAGCCCTCACCCCCTGGGGACGGTCGCATCCTGCACCCACAGCTCTGGGGGTGCCGGAGCCCAGGCAGTGATCCTGGAGGGGCAGCAGGGCTGGGCGCAGCGGGACGGGGCTGGTGCTGGCTGTGCAGGTGGCAGCCAGCAGCTGACTCCGTGGGAGCAGCAACCGGAGCAGGAGGAGCGGCAGTAGGTTCAACACAGACTCATAACTTGTGCTTTCCGCCGGCAAATGCTCTGGACTGCAGCTGGGAACGGTGCCAGGGGGGCTCAGGAAGGAGGCTTTCAGAGCTGAATGTCTTTTTCAGAGCAGACTCTAACTCTGGGCTCATAATCCCGAATTCAAGCAGACTGTTGCCTTTGCTATTCTTTCAGGCTCTTTGTTTTGATCAAAGAGGCAATGCTGTATAATTTAAGAAAGACTTTGCTTGCGAGGCCGGTTTGATGCATGTGGAGCGGCAATGTGGAAAAATCCAGCCCTTGCCCATGGAAGCCAGCTTGGATAATTCGAGGCACTTGAGGAGATGTCATTTGCCGTGACTCAATTCGATTTGTGCGGCTGGGTGACACCGTACCCACACGGCCATGAATTGCAGCCCCCCTGCTCTGCACCCTGCTGCCGGAGCCAGGGCAGCTCCCATGGCACGGCCCCAATGCCTGGGGAGGGCTGGGGGCACGGAAATCTCTGCCTCTGGGGCAGGAGCAAGCAGCAAGAGGCTGGTGGCACCCAGCAGAGCTGCTCTGGTGGCACCAGGCAGGTCCCCGCCAGGAGCCGTGGTGGCCTCTGCCCGCGATGCTGGGGAGCAGCTGCAGTGTGACGGGGGGGCTGCAGCCTGCCTCGTGCTGCAGACGCTCTAGAAAAGCCCCAGCTAGAGGGATGGGGACGCTTCTGAATGTAGATGCTGCAGAAAACGTTTTGCACTGGAAAAAACTGAAAGGATGCGCCTCTGGGGGAAGCGGGTAATCCTCCCATGTGTCACTGTCAGGAGAACATCAGGCTGTAGCTGTAAGGGCTCCTGTTTTGTTGCACCCTTCCCTCCCTACCTTTCCTAATGAATTCCAAGAAGGCTTCAATGCATTCTGAAATGGGAAGCGCCGCGCTATGTCCTTCACAGCCGCCGACACAATAAAGACAGCCATTTCACCGCTGGCAGGCACGGGCTCCTCTGTGGGCTGGAAACAAAAGCTGAAAAGAAGCCTTTATATTTTTTTTTGATTAGATAGCTTGAAAAGTTTGCTTTTAATTGAAACTGCCTCACTGATTTCATCTAAAAGTCAGCTGCAAACCCCCTTCTGGGAGAGCGGCTCCAGCTCCTCGCCGCCGAGATGTCTGCACGGATCCTGCGCCGCCTCCTGCGGGAGGTGCAGCTCCGAGGGCCCGGGAGCAGCGCTAATCCTCCTCCTTCAGCATGTGGCACTCGCTTTGGAGACCCAAAGCAGATTTCTCTCTCCACGCAGTGAGCAGTGCTACTGCCCATCGTGCTGGTGGATGGCACGGAGCCAGGGCTCTGCCTGCAGCATCCCGCCGAGCCCCTGTCCCCCCGCATCCATCAATGTACAACTGTGCCGGAGAGCATCGCCGTCAGTCCTGGGCTGCAGACACCTGCACAGGGCACCAACGGGCCCGTGGGACCTGCAGCACCCATGGGCACCTCGTGCCCACCGAAGGTGCTGCTCCTTGCGTCTCCTCTGCCCGCTCCGGGCATGCGTGCGAAGAAACTACTTTGAGTTCTTTTTCAAAGAACGAAGGAGGAAGAAAAATTATCAGGGGAAATTTATGTTGGGACAATCCTGAATACAAAGACAAATTGAAATATTTCCCTGTAACAGCGCGGGCTGGGGACCGAGTCTCGGATAAAAATAAAGTGGGATGCAACAACAGCACCTTTCCGATGGCATTAGCCCCATTCATCTCCCGCGCGGTGCCGCAGCCGTTTCGCTGGCAGCGTACAAAGGCATTAGGAGTTGCATTTTCCTTCGCTATTTCTCAACTATATTTATGCTGTGAGATGTTTGTGGAGGTACATTGTGTGCCTCGGGCAGAGGATTAATTCCAAACTGTCACCTCGCTTTTTGATGGGTTTGTAAATTCTGCTCTGTTGATTTGTGCGCTCAGTAAATTGATAAAATCCTCTTCCTACAACGAAACACGCCATGTAGAGCTCGCCGGGGCTTTAGACCCTACTGGTTAACGAGTTTATGTAAATATAGTGTCCAACAGCAAATTTAGGAGTGCTGCATGAATAAAAGGGGGAAAAACTGGGGCTGTGTCCAAGCGGAGATCAGAGCTCCCTGTTGCACTCAGGATGATGCTGACGTGCTGGGAGCTCTGGGAGGCCTTTAGGGATGGCACAGGAGAGGTCTTTCCAGTTAGGGACTCGGCATCTTGGCAAATGGAAGTTTATGGCTGTCAGGAATAGTCCAGTTTTTACTGAAATTGACTTTAAATCACCATCAGAAAACGCAAGCCCAACGCCTGTGCAGTGTCACGGAGCCCCAGTGTCGGGGGGACGAGCCGCAGGGCTGCAGGAGCGCGGTGCAGGGATATCAGAAATGATTTTCTCCTGTATTGTCCCCCAGCCACCGATCTGCTAGAGATGAAGGATCTCATCCACCAAATGTTGACACGCTCCATTAATCCACCCTAAAAAGTCAGATGGAGATTCTCCCTTGAATTTTAAATATTTCCAGCCATTCCGACTAGCTCTGAAATCACCCCGAATTGCCCCATTTCCTGAATGTTCTTTCGCAGCCCCCACGTTATTCCCATTCCATTATGCCTGGATGCTCAGACTCACTTATTGCCTTTATCAGCTCGCTGCATTGCTCGCAGAACGACACCAGCCCCAACAGCGACTGCTGCGAGACCTTTGGGGAGCCTCCCCCCTGCCATCCCCTCTCCATCCTCACCCTTGGGGGTCCTGCAGCAGACTCACCCCGGTGCCCCGATGTGCCCAACCCCTTTGTTCCCCCTGATCACGGCGGCACCGAGCGCTTCCCAGTGCCCTGACCATCCCCTCCTGGCCCAGGAGGTGCCCACGTGTGATGCGGGCAGACGTGGCAGCCCTTTCACTGCGCGGGTTGCACGGCTCCAGGATCAGCCCCGCACATTTTCCTTCTGTCACAGTTTGAGTTTTTGGATGCGTTCGCGTTTGGCACCGAATCTCCTTTCTAGACGAAAGCTTTGCATTTCCAATCACACCTCCAAGGCTGCCCGTCCTGGCCAGGCTGCCTGCACGCTCCCTCCTGCTGCCAGGAGCCAGCTTTCGGCTGCATAAGGCTCCGCTGAACCTTCCTCGCGCAGCCATCTGTCCGGCTCTCATCCTGCCCTTTTCCTTTCCATGCTCCTTGCTCTTCCAGAGAAGACGTGGGGCCAAGCCCCTGACCAGGGTTTGGACCGCCTGGCAAGATTTTTGCTTCTGCAAACCAGCACAACTCAGGCTCAGGCAGCACTCAGGTCCCATGGGGTCAGCCGCTGTCATGGCCCATAACCAGTGAAAGGAGGAGGAGAAGAAAAAAAAATAAAAAAAAGATTGCAATGTCTGGGCTCTGCGCTGTCCCCTGCACGCTGAGTCCTGCTGCAGGCCAGGGTTTGGGCTGCCTGGCGAGATTCTGGCTTCTGCAAAGCAGCACAACTCCACCGGCTTTAGCGGCGTGATGCTAACGCACAGCAACACGCACCGAAGGATTTGCTACCCCACATCCACGTCAGTTAAAGGAAGACGCTGGAGCAGAAATAGTCTCCTCTGGAAATAGCAGGAGGAGCGCTCCGCTCCCTTCCTGCGCCAGCCGCAGCCCCCCACACCTGAAAGTCCCCCGGTTTTGTGCTGATCGCCCTCACCCCGTTCCCCAGAGCCCCTTGGAGGACCCCCCCCAGCAATTTGGGAGGGGTGCAGGCACCGACCGGGGCTGTGCAGCCGGTACAGAGCCCGGCAGGTGATGCCAGGGGGAGGTGAGCAGTGCCCATGGCGATGCCCGCAGTGAGCAGAGGGACCGGGAGCTGCAGACCCTGGGGACAAGAGGCCAGCTGGGACCGGCGGGGAACACGAAGCAGGTCAGGGACTGGTGGCAAGAACCTCCTCTAATTGCTGAAATCCCCACGGATGAGGTCTGAGGGAACAGAGCTGGGCTGCCCATGGTCGCTGCATGGCTCAGGAGTTCGGTGTTTCCTCTCCACCCTCCCAGCGGCGCAGCTCCTGCAGCAGCCACTCCAGAGCAGCAGCAGCACGGGGGCAGCCCAGGAGCAGCGCTGCTGTCTGTAAGGTCAGCAGAAATGTGGGGCTCGGGGCTGGGGGGCTGGAGCTGCCCCAGCTCTGCTCCCAGCCCGGTGAGGCTGCAGGAGGCAGAGCACCACCGGGGCAACAGGGCTGCTCCCCGGGGCCCTGCACCAACCCTAACAACCGGGCTATTAGCAAGCTGCAACACCAGGCAGGCATCTGGCAGCCTCTCCTGCAAATAAAGGACACTTTCGTTTAGCATCTCGGTGGAAAAGGGCTGCTGCGGGGGAGATTTCTCCCTCCTTTCATCCCGGCTGATGCAGGCTGGGGTGGACGCAGGGCTGCAGAGCGAGGAGCTGGGGGTTGGCACCGTACGGGTGTCCCTGGTGCTCCTGGTCCATGCATCACCACGCGCTCATCAGCATGAAAACTGAGCCTGGGAAGCAGGCTCTTTTGGGAAGGGCCCTGGAAAGCCAGACGAGGTGGCTGTGAGCAGCAGCTGAACCGCAGGAACCTGAGTCAGAATGACACAAAATCCCCCCTGACCCCGCAGCAGCCTGCCCAGCACCATCCACCATCCCTGCCCTTCGCTTCTTCCTTCCCACCAGCTCCTCTCTCCAGGCTCAGTGAATATCCGAGCTCCCCACGCCACCAGGACCACGCGGTGAGAGCCTCAGCACCCCTTCCAGGGTGCTCCTGGCATCCCCAGCACCACGTGCCCGGCAGCGCCAGCGCTACAGACACAGCACTGGCTCAGCACTGAATTCAGCAATTTCATACTCCTGACAAGAGGGTAAATGCATCCTGATGGACTGGAAAATTGGAAAGCCGCTGCTCACGCTTTATTTTCTATAGGCATCTACCCGAACTCCCGCAAGATACATTTATTGGCAGGCTCCAGCTCCAGCCATGTAACTGCGTGTTATGCTAATTAAAATATAGCCTGTGTTTTGTAACAGGATTTCCTTGGAGCATACTTTACTGTTCAGTAATCACTTTCAAATATTTGAAAAATAAAATCCCATCAAGTAAATAACTTTTGGATGGCTCACGGTAGGTTCCTTGTTTTCCAGAACCCCGCTGGAACTGGCAGTGCTCATCACCATGACAGAGGATGTAAAACACGCTGATCTGTGAGGCTGCTTGTAGTCTAGATCAAAAGCTGCATGGTATTTAATCATACGGAGCACATTTCATTAAAAAAAAGAAAATCTGTTTGTACCAAAGGGGATAAAAAAGTGGCACGGAGCTCAGCTCTGTCCCTGATTATCCCCAGTGACCAGCTCTGGCCCTACGGGGGGAGGTGGCATTGTCCCCCCATCCATTTTTATCACCCATGGATGATATAAAGGCGGTGATGCCCTGCCACACCTCGTGTGCACTGGCTCATCCGTATCTCAGTGTCTGTTAATTTCTGAACCCACAGCTGACTTACAGCCACAGCGGCTGGGTTGCACACCGATATGCTCCGCACTTCCCTTTTTACAGCGTTTGCTTTTACGAGACCTATACGAGGCATTCAGCACGGCAGGTGAGCACACTGCTGCATTAACCTACAGACTGCATCTTCGGGCCCGAATACTTCCATCGAATTCCTCACTCAATGAGAAATGCACAGAAAAAGCCATTCGTAACGCTGTAAAATCCACAGAGCGCACATTCCACATAGCATCTTTATGCATTCATGATGGCTAAAGCACTGGAGGAGTGGAGAGCTGAGCTATTAATTCAATTGCATTGCTGCCGATCCAGACCTTCACCCGTTCTTTCTGGTAAGCAGCAGAGAAGAAAGAAGAGGCAGTTCGATGGCCGCTGACCCCTCCCCACGCCTCCCCTCCCTCTCTCCGTGGCCGGCTGAGCGCTCGCCGTCGGCTCCTTCCTGCGATGGCACCGCTTGGGGTGCTGCCGGTTGCAGAGGGAGCACGGCACCAACTTGTTGCAGCCCACGTTTGGTTTCTCACCACTGGACACGCCGATTTTTGGGATTCTCCCACGGCGCTGCCCTTGTCCTGCGGCCGGGAGCCGCGGTGCTGTGCCGCTGTGCCGCGACAGCCGTGCACCAACGGGCTGAAGGGGAGGAGGAGGGCAAGCGGGGGGGCCACAGAGGAGCCTGGTGCTCAGCACCCCCCTTCTGGTGCTTCTGCTCAGGATCCACGGGTTCTGCCGTGGTCCACGGGGGTTTCACTGCTCTGCTCCTGCCTCTGCATCACCAGCACCACCTGCGCCGCTGTGCCGGGGGCTCCCCTGGGGCCCCGCAGGATGAAGCAGCAGCATCCCTGGCCCATGGCCCCCCCCAAACCCCAACCCCCCGGCTGCACTGCCCGGGCTGCAGGTGGGCAGGGAGTGATGCTGCCAGGAGCTGCTTCCCCACCTCCTCTGTTGGCCGTGGTGACTCCACAAGTGCCGAGCACCAAAAAGCCACCGGCAGAGCGAGCGATGGGTGCGCGGCGTGTGGCACCGGCGGCTTCTTGAGAGAAGGAGCCAAAAAGTCACGGAAGGAGGGCAAGGAATGGTCCCCCAGCAGGGTCTGGTGATGCCCCCCACCCTCTCACAGCACACAAAGGGTCCCATTTGGAGCTGGGACCACAGGCCCTGGCAGGCAGCAGGGCCCCCCCGGGCTGGCACTGCCTGCGCAGAGCTGGGGCTTGCAGCGGTGACTCACGGAGCCTCGCAAGGGGTCAGCTCTTTATCAGCTCCCTCTCTGCCAGCACCGGAGGAGTTCAGTACGCCGCGTTCTCCTACCCTGAGATTGATGACAGATCGTGCTTGCCATGAGGGCCAAATCCTGCTCCTGAGAAGCCCGACTGCGTGCTGCTGCTCCCACCGGGAGCTGCCGACGGGCAGGGGGCCTCCTGCCCCTGGCTGCTGTAAGGCTGGTAGTGCCCCCACTGCCCCCGGTTGGCACAGCCCGGACCCCTGGCCCCCCTGGGCCCCCCCTGGGTCCCCTGGGCAGCAGCTGCCCGGGCACGGCTCCCAGCACAGCTCACCAGCTGCCTGAGCGTTTGTAGCACAGCGGAGAAACGGGTCCTGTGTGTCCCCGGGCTGAAACAGGATGTGCACAGCCCCCGGGGCTGATTCCTCAGCAGTACGTGCACGGTCATACAGAGAGCACAAACACATCCAGGTGAGAGGGAAAATGCCACAGCCTACACTCATCTCTGTTTTGTTACCCAGAAGAAGGACAGATTCGGTAAACAAGATCTGCGTGGAAGACAGGGTTTAAGATGGAAAAGTCAAAGTCTTTTAGTGCAATCTGGAGACGAGAACAGAAATGAAAGCAAGGCAGGAAGCATTGCACAGCCCTCAGGAGCTGCTCATCTTTGCTAAAACCACACCAGCCAGCCCTGGAGGTCAGCCTGCCAGGCCCTGCACAAGCGCTGCAGCACAGACGGGCACCGGCCTCCCCAGTTCTCCCACTGCCCTAACCCACTACTGGGAGCAGCACAAACCCCACCGCCCTGGCCCCGCAGCCTCCCCGGTACCAGCTCCCAGAGCTGGCAGCGGATTCGCAATCCGGAGGCTCCGTGCCAGTTTGCAGTGACTTTGTCAAGTCACCCGCACACGGGTCCCGGAGCCTATTCTTAGGTCTGGCACGGCGGCGGTGGGAGAAGCAGAGGGAGCCAGTTTGTGTGGAAACGTCAAGCACGTGGAAGGCACACGCAGCCCCGCGGGAAGCCACCGCCGCCCCACGGCCACCCCCTCCATGGGACGGAAACACCCACCGGGCACCCCGGGGGGCTGGGACCCGGTGCCAGGGAGGGGGGCAGTGGGGACCCTCCTGGCGGGGGGGGGAAGCAGGGGGGTCCTCCAAATCTCACAGTGCGCTGCTGTGCCCTGGGCCCACTCCAAGAGACCACCCCGGGAGTGCCAACCCTGCACCCTGCCCTGCAGCTGCCCTCGGGGGGGTCCCAGGCTCCCGGAGGGGTCCCAGCTCCCGGAGGGGTCCCAGCTCCAGGGGGGGGTCCCGGCTCCCCAGGCACAGCCGCCGCCGAGGCCCGGCCCCCGGCAGCACAGGGCTCCCGACGGCCCCCGGCTGCCCCCCCCGGGGCTCCCCGCGGCGTCCCGGGAGCTGTCCGCAGGCACCGTGCTGAGCCGCCGGGACGCGCCGCGACGCGCCGGGACGCGCCGGGGCCGGGGCCGTGCGCTCGCAGCCGTGCCCGAAGTTTCCTCCCGGCCGGGGAGCCGCAGAACCGCGGTGGGGGGGTCCCGGAGACCCCGGGTGCTGGGGGTCCCGGCCTGTTCCAGCAGCCCCCTCCCCGCTTCCCCCGTCCCCACGCACGCCCCGTGCCCGTCCCCGCGCACATCCCCGGAGGGGCGCAGGGCCCCGCACCCCGGCCGTGCTCCCCCCCCCCCCCTGCTCGGCCCGGTGCTTACCTGGGCGCGGGGCCGCGGGGCCGGCCAGCAGCAGGGCGAGCAGGCACAGCCCGCGGGGCCCCGGCATCGTGCGGCGGCGGCGGGCGCGGCGGAGCCTCCGCGCTGCTGCTGCTGCTGCTCCGAGCCGTGCCGAGCCGGGGGGGCGGCGGCCGGGGCTGGGGGCTGGGGGCTGGGGGCTGGGGGCTGGGGACTGGGGGCTGGGGGCTGGGGGCTGGGGGCTGCCGCCGCTGCCGGTGCCGGTGCGGGGGAGCGGGCGCGGCGGAGCGAGGAGCGGAGCGGATCCGAGCCGAGCCGAGCCGAGCGGCGGGGGAGGGCGCCGGCGGCCGCCCCGGCCCCCGCGCAGCGCCGTGCGCCTCGGCCCCGCCCGCGGCTCCCCGGCCCCCCCCCCCCGGCCCGTCCTCCCCCGGCTCCCCCCCGGCCCCGGCGCTCTGCCCCCTGCCCCCGGCTCCTCGCAGCCCCCCGCGGATCCCCCCGGCCTCGGGAGCCTCGGTGCCCCCCAGGCTGGGCAGCTCTCCCGCCCCCCCCCCAGCCCGCAGGCTCCAGCTTTGCCTGCCCCAGCCTCGCTGCCCCTTGTCCCCAAGCCCCCCCCAGCGCCCCAAGCCCCTCTCACCGCCCTGCTGATGCCCAGCCTTGCCCCCTTCCCTCCCTCAAATGCTGGCTGTGGGGAGGGCAGTGGTGCTGGGGGGGGGGGAGTGATACGTGCTCCAAGGCCCCCCTTGGGAGCAGTGCTGGAAGCTGGGCTGGAAGAGGACAACACAGCAGGGCAGTGGGCTTTGTGGAAGCAGAGCCCCCATATGTGGGGCTGGCACCTTGGCCATAGCTGGGCACTGGCGGCCCCTCAGCCCTGCAGCAAAATAAAAAAACACAGAAAGTCCCCCCCGAGCACCCAGCCCCTGGGCTCTGCGACCTCGCTGCTCGCGGGCAGCATCAGGGGCTGGTGCTGTGGGGACACCCCTGCCCACCCCATCCCACCCAGCCCCCCGGCAGCGGGGGGAGCTGGGTGCTCTCCGCAGGCCTCTCCTGCGCCCGCTGGAGCTAGCGGTGTGATTCCGCTGCCTTTGGGAGGAACAGAAAGGGAGGCTTCGTCCTCTTGAAGCCACTGATCCGGCCCCGAGATGTTTGTTTGCTGTAAGTCACCTTGCAGGGGGAGCCACCTCGTCCTCCCGGCCCCTTCTGCCTGTCCAACCCCCTGGGCAGCGCGGTGCCACGCAGAGCGCCACGCGTGCCGAGTGTCCCAGGATCAAGGCCAGCCTCTCCCCAGCGCATCTCCTTTGGTGCTGCTGCCATCAGACAAGCCCTGACTCCCTTTCAGAGAGCAATTACGCTGATTTGGTTACCTCAGCAACAACAATCCCAACCTGGCATCACCACCAATGCCAGCAGGCAGCACACGTCCTGCCACGAAACCATCCCAAACCAGGCGCTGACCCCGCTGCCGCCCCCCGGGTTGCTTTGTGGGGTGCTGCTGGGGCCCGAGGGGCGCGGAGGGAGCAGGCTGCAGGGCAGGAGGGCTCTTTGCATTCCCTGTCACTCCCGGCTGCCGCCAGCTGGGAGCACTTGGGCAGCCGGCGAGAGAAGGACAAAATAAGAACAGCCGAGAAATCACCGAGAGGTGCCGTATTTTATTTAACACTGGCATTTTCATACACAACATGGGACTCGCCTGCCCAGAGGTTTAATTTGGTATAACAACGCTATCCGCAGCAGAGCGAGAGCTGATCCCTCCCTGCTCCAGCCCCGGCCTCCCTCCCGACCCGCAGTTATTAAAGATAAAAGTTGTCGCTCGTTTAGCAGTTTTCCTTGAGTGATTTTTATTGTGTTCATTTGCTTTGTAGTAAACTCCTAAGATAGCCAGATAATAACATCAGCGCCATGGTAACAGAGAGGGGGAAAAAAAAAGAGCAAATGGTGCATTTGTAATGCAAAACTGCCCACTAAGTGGCAAAAGTTGTTGGTGATGGAGAGCCAGCAGCGAGCTCCAGCCCCCCCCGAGCAGCTCCCCAGGGCCGGGGGTCCCCTGCTGCCTCCCCTGGGACCTGGGGCCGGGACCCAGCCCAGGAGCCACCAGCAGCCGGGGGCAGCCCCAGAGGTGCAAGAAAAGCACAAATTGTTATTGCTCCTCTGGCAGTGCTCAGGGCTGGAAATGTTTCATGGTCAAGGAAACTGGGAATTGGAAAAGAAATAAAGAGGAGCATCTCCTGAGGCTGTTTTAGTGGGCATCACTCTAATTAGCACCGCGCTCATTGGCAGTTACCTCAGACCTTTGATTAACAGTGAAGAAAATCAATAAGCACACTAAAAATTCAGATAAGTTTCACAGCTAATTTTAATTTCACATTTTAATCGTGTATTAATGTCAATCTTAATTACCATAATTAAGTCAGATGTGACTTAGCAAGAGCAGCTTGGAGATAAGGCGTTACGAGAAGGACGGCGCCTGCCCGCGAGTGCCGCTCCGCAGCCTTTGGGATGTGGTGGATGAAGGCGTGGAGAGAGCCCCCCTGCCCCGCTGTCCCCAGCCTGGCCTGGCTCCTGCTGGCAGAGTGTCCCCAGCAGTGCCAACAGCAGCACGAGGCCTCCTGACCTTCTCTGCCCCTGTTTTGGGCTGCCCATGTCCCCAGGTTGCTTCCTCTCCTGGGTGCGCAGCAGCGCAGGGGGCTCAGCCCCACCGTTTTGGTGGTGCCTGCGCTCTGGCTGTCTCAGCTGGTGAGGTCTGCGGGAGCTGCACAGAGTCCAAACCGCTCGGAAAATCAATCTCTCATTTATTTTCATGATGGTGATGCAAGAGCCCGGCGATGCTGTGTTTGCTCTGCAGTTACACCTATCGATCGCCGTCCCCCAGCCTCCCCAGGCCTGGTGGGGCAGGAGCGGTGTGGCCGAGGGCAGGCTTTGTGCACCAAGGAGCCCTTGGACACGTCCGCCCTGCAGAAAGCTTCCCTGCAGCCCTGCAGCATCTGCTTCGTGGTGGTTCGGGACCAAATGCAGCCATCAGAGCCCCACATACCCTCAGGCTGTTGTGGCTGTGCCACGGGCAGGGATGCGGTGGGCGCATGGCGTGGATGTGGCTGTGGCCCCGTGGCTCCTGCTGGCCGTGCTGAGCCCTGCGTACGGGAATGGGCATGGCACAGAGATGGGCTCTGCTGTGCCCTGCGTCGGGACAGACCTTGCTGCCTCCTGATCACAGCACGAACCACGCCGGGTGCCCAGCCGGGAGGAGCGCTGGCAGCCTGACCCTCTGGGTTTGGAGCAGGAGCTGATGCTGAACCCCTTGGCTGCCCCTGGTGATTTTATGGGCAGTGACACATCCCTGCGCTCCCGGCCCCAGCCCCGAAGGCAGTGCCTGCAAGGACAGCCAGGTCCTCCCGAGCCCAGGCTGAAGCATCGCTGCTGGCTGCTGGGCGGCTGTGCCAGGGTGAGCAGGGATGGAGCTGGGTGGGGGAGCAGAGAGCGAAGTGGGGAGCAGGGAGCAAACCCACAGAGGAGCTGGGCATGGGGCAGCTGTGATGTGTGCAGCAGATTCTCTCAGTTTGCTCAGAGCTCCGCTTTCTGCTACCAGAAACCTCACTGGGGAACATCTCAAGGCTTCAGTGCAAGCTCGGTGCTGCTGCCTCCTGCAAAGAGGGCTCCAGTGCCAGGCTCTGCCCCCCCAGAGCCCTTGCTGTGCGCATGGGGCCAGCCTCGTCCCTGCAGCTTCCTCGGGAAGCTTCCTCCTCCTCCGCTGCGTGGTGCCCAGGAGGGGCCATCAATGGCAGGAGGAAGCAAAAAATAACCTCGGCTGCAGATCTGGAAGCTGCTGTCTCCCATAACGACGCTGAATCGCGGCTCTGGGGAATGGTCTGCGGGCTCTGCTGACGGGGGGACATCTCTGGTGAGTGGCAATATTGTCCCCGGGCAGAAAAGGCCTTTGTCCCTCAGAAACAGCAGAGCCACTCCAGCCTTTGGCTTCGGAGTGGGCTGCATCCCTGCTCTGCCTTACAAACACGGGTGCTGAATGGGGGGTTTCAGCGCGAGGCCAGGCTCGGTTCCAGCCCCTTTTAGCGCGTGCCCGCGGGCACAGCTGGGGGCCCTTTCAGGAGGGAAGTCCTTGTTCCTCGTCCACAGAAGACTTTGCCCGGCTCAAAAATAGGCTCTCTGTTGGTGCTTGGAGGGGGCTGAGAGGAACAAAGTGCCGTGGGGAAGGGGGCAGCGTGGCGGGGGGGACGGGGTGCCCGGCTGCTCCGCAGCCCCAGCAGCACCCCCACCCCGCACGGCCCCTCCGTGGGTGGCAGCGGGGACCTGGTGCTGCTGCGGCCCCACAGCCGTACCTCGCCCTGCGCCACCGTCCCTGCGTGCCCGAAGGTTTCCGAGCTGCCATTTCATCTCTGGTCCCAGCAGGGCTTGAACGGAGCCCGAGCTCCAGCTCTGAGCTCTTCACTTCCCAGTCTCAAAGATCTCTCAGCGCAGCTCTGCACCAACACCGTGCGTTCGTTTCAGACCCTGCCGGCCAGCCGAGAGCCAACCCTGTCCACCAGGGCGCAAAGAAAGCTGCCTGCTGCACGGCGCCCTCCGACAGCAGATACCCGCTCCATTAGGGCTGTCCTGTCTCGGCCTCCCTCCCTCTATTTATTTAAAAATTGGTATTCATGCCGGGACGCCGCTGGTGTTTGCTCATTGCCTCCCATATAAATTGCAAGATAAGTTACTCTGCACCAGATACTGTTCCTGACACAGAAAACGAAATCTGTAAATTCATGAGTGCACAGAATTGATGTTGTCCTATCCAGCATTTTTTTCTTTAAACAAATAGAAAGAAGTTTTGTTGGAAGTTTTTTTTTTTTTTGAACAGAGGCAAAACGCAGCAGGTCCGTAGCACTGTGCTCTCCGCCTGCAAGAGGTGCAAGCCAACTCTTTGCCCCTGCGTTACTCTGCAATACTGCATCTAGCCATTACTTCTTCCCAGGAGGATGTCCCTGGGCTCCTCGCTCTCCGTGGTGTCTCCCCAGGAGGCTCAGCACCATCGCTCAGCACCACCGGCAGGCAGGGATGTGCTGGGAGGGCTCAAGGTGCTGGGAGCAGCAGGGATGGGATGGGATGGGATGGGATGGGATGGGATGGGATGGGATGGGATGGGATGGGATGGGATGGGATGGGATGGGATGGGATGGGATGGGTCCTGCCTGCTCGGCTCAGCCCTCAGCACTGAGCAGAGGACAGCATTCTCAAAGCTGCTGCCCCAACTAATTTCCCCACAGGAATCCTAAAAGGGCCTTCTGAGAAGCTGGGCAGGCAGCAGCCCTCCGTGATGCCGGCTGTGCGTATCCCCGGGTGCCAGAGCGGGGGGACCCGGCCAGCTCTGAGACGGCACCAGCTTTAGAAGCAGGTGAGTGAACAGTTTGGCAATGGAAATTAGAAGACACAGGGAAGTAAGGGAAACAGGGAAAAAGGAGGAAAGCACAGATGACATTTGGCACCAGTAACCATGGCATTATGAAAAACAGATTTTGTCAAACAGCTGATTGTGATCTTGGAAGAGATTGTAAATATGATGGAGGGAGGTACGTGAGGGGCTGTTACAGGTTGCTGCAGTGTATTTGATGTGGTATCAAGCCATATCATCGTGGAAAGCAGCGAGACACAGCAGCAGAGCAGTGCTCTCCATGGGTTAAGAAGAGGCTCATTGACAGATCTCCGAAAACGGCAATGAGGAATCAGCTTCAAATGAAGGAATTATTAATGAATCCCTTAAGAGCTGGTGCTTAGCTCTGTCACTGCTTCACATTTTCGTTTGTGATCTGCAGGTAAATATAAAATCGCAGGTGATTATGCTTACAAGGAGGAGATTAGCAGGACGGAGAGCTTGGGCAGAGCCACGCAGCGTGGCCTGGGTCGCAGTGCAGGATGAATTATTCAAACCGGTGTGTTTCAGTGCCCAATGCTCTGTGCTAAAATCCTTCCTTTCACCTGTGCTCCTGAGGGTTTCAGCACAGTTCTCAAGCCTCTCCTCTCCCAGTCAGCCCCAGCTCAAGCAGTGCAGGGACTCTGCCAGGCACGGGGCCCTGTGGGGCTCTGGATGGGAGCTGCACCCCAGGAGATGCCCAGGCAGCAGAGCGCGGTGCCTGCAGAGCTGCTCCCATGGGGTCAGCCTGGGGGGCAGCACCCAGCATGGGGCACAATAGGGACAGCAGCTCCTGCAGCTCCTGCAGGCTCTGGGAACCTTTTTCTCCAAAGGGAGCCAGCAGTGGTGCTTTCCTGTTTCAACCAGGGCATCACAAAGAGGCCGTGGCAACCTTTACGCACAGCCAGTTCCCACCGGGGCTGTGCCACAGGCTAGCGGAGATGTTCCTGCTCCTCCCACACCTCGGGCATCACGCCAGGAGCCAGCACCACGAGCATGGGGGCAGGATGGTGGCAGTGACCACTGCGAGCAGCTCACAGGGGCTGAGCCTTGCTGGGAGGCTGCAGCCACCTCCCAGCCCTGCCATGGGGCAGTAGCAGTGGGTGTGGGGCTGCCCCATGGGTGCTCCCCGGTGCCCCAGGGCTGGTTTCTCAGTAGGGGATGTTTGCCCTCTTTGTGGGCGAAAGGGGGATTTGTTCCAAAGCCCTTTTCATGAAAAAAATCCATACTGTTTTGCTTTGCTCTGACCCATCTCCCAAGCTGTGATGGTTTAATTGATTAGCTTGTAAGAGCTTGGCAGCTGAGCCTGTGCTTTGCCGGTCGCGTTCCTGCAGCTCCCGCAGGTGGGAAGCCATTAACTGCCCCCGGGCTCCTCCCTCCGCCCACCAAAAGCTCCTTGGGCAGGAAGCTGTGGCTGCTTTTGGAGAAAAGCCCCTAAAACACTCTGTCCTCGCATCGCAGCCGGGTCAGCCCCCGCAATCCACCCCGACGGGTGCAGGTCCCACGCACGGCGCTGCTGTGGGTGCCCACTGTGCGCTCACACTGCACACCCCACTGTGCTGGAACCTTACACGGGTACGGGTCTATTTATTACCAGAGATCTTAGCAAAATAATAACAGTTCACTTGCACAGAGCTATTATCGCGGCTCGCTCTAACTTTGTGCTGCTCAGCGTGTCAGGATGATGAGGGGTTGGTACTAAACCTACCAGCAGCCACTAAGTGCTGCCGTATAAATGTCTCTTCCTGAAATCACAGGACTTTAACTCGCTGGCACCTGTTTGGAGTCCTGTGAAGAGGGATGTGCTGAAGTGGCAGTGCCCAGTGCTGGCTGCCCCATACTGGGTATGGGATCTGGTTATGGGACCCAAGCAGCTCTTCCCTCGGTGCCAGACCCGTGGCTCTGTGCCCGCTGCAGGGCTGGCAGGATGCGGCCACGGCTCCCTGCAGGGATTGCTCTGGGTGGCTCGGAGAGAGGCAGCGAGCCCTGCTCCGTGCCCGTGGTGGCCGCAGCACAGTGACGAGGCAGCTGGGGGGCAAAGGCAGCGGGTCCCCAACCCCTAGGGCCACCAGCACAGGGTGCCAGCGCCTGGGGGACGCTGCGGGGATCCAGGCACGCAGCAGGGGAGGTGCTGCAGGAGGACAGGCAGGCAGGCTGGAGACAACATGTGGGGGGCCCTGGCAGGGCTTCAGCATCGCAGCGTGTGTGCGTGTGCATTCGCACGCTGGGAGATGTTGCGCAAGCTGAAATGAGATTAGCTAATGTACTGCAAACACAAACCAGCTAGGAAGGAGATCTCGCTCGCCAGCAAATGCAAATCTTTATGCCTAGTTTACTGTGTAATGTTCCCCATTAACCCCAGTGCTCTGCCTGCTGGCAAGGAGAGGGGAGGGAGGCAGGAGGCTTTTGGTGAATGCTCGTGCAGCGAAAAGGTCCCTCGGCTGCGAGCACCCGGGGGGTGCCGCTGCTCTGCCCTGGCCCCAGCAGCACGTGAGCTCCAAAAGGAGCTGCCCTCGCTGCCTCTTCACAGCACCTGGGGCCCAGGAGCCAGCGGCTGCCCCCAGTGCCTCCGTTACCACCAGTGTGCAGCCACGTGCCTCCAGGTGATGCTCTCGGCTGGGCGCAGACACTTGGCAGAGAGAAGCAGCGGCGATGGGAGCGGGCTCATGGGGGGGCTGCCTGGCTCTTAGCCCCTCCAGCAGTGGGCATGGCCCATCCGAGCTCCACGAGTTAACAGGATCGTGGGGGATTTCACATGGAAGAGGCCTCCTGACAGCCCGCAAGTAGGTCTAATAATTTATTATAACTGCTTTTATGGCAGAGCATAAAAATCCAAAATAAGGCTGGGAATTGTAAGAGTAATCCGCACGGAGCTGAGTTTCTGCACAACCGTAATTTTTTTTAGGCTCCAGTGCCTTCCTCTGGAACCCGAGCACCCGGGTGCACCCTGCCCCGTGCCCGCTGCAGGTTGTGCCCCAGCAGGTGAAGCTGTGCATCAGCAGTGATGCCCAAAGCCCACGATGTTAAATCAGAGATCCAGGCATTGCTGGAGAGGGCGTTGATTAATGGGGTTACTAATGGGGCCGGAGCAGATCTCAAGAGGTCCATCCAACCCAAATTACTCCGTGATTCAGAGGCTGCTCGAGGTCTCTGTGTTGGGTTTGGGGGCCGCAGCCCCGGCCCCTTCCCTGCAGCTCCCCTGCTGCCCTCCTGCAGCCCCAGCCCACGCTGGTCCTGGCACCGTGCCCCTTGGAGGGAGATTGTCTGTCCCCAGAGGGTGACATTAAACGCAGAAGTAATTCCGTCTCCTACGGCTCACCCTGAGCAGTCGTTACTGCAATTACCCTGAGTGCCACTGGATGATGCTTGGTAATTACAAGGCTCTTTCATCTGGGGATCTCCGAGCACTCACTGATCAATTCATTAAGCCCTGCAGCAGGCTGGAGCCGTGGTGCAGGACGCCACCGATCGATAGCTCTCTCCTGAGACGTGGGGCTCAGCCCCAGGGCTGGGGGCAGGAGAGGGCTGGGGGCCAGGGAGGGACAGCAGCAGCAGCCACAGCCGTGTGCCCCGGCACAGAAGGGATGCGTACAGAGGGGCAGCACCAGCCGGGGGCAGGGGGGAGATGGGCAGTGCCACCCACATCGCCCTCACACCCCGAGAGGAGCTGCCTCCTTCGAAGCTCGGCTGCTCGGAGGAGCCCTGGCAGGAGCTTGCCATTAGCACCGGCTGTAAATCTCCTCCTAACAAGGAGCCTGGCTGGGCCCAGGCAAGATTTATAAATATGAATGCGATTGAAAGCAGCAATTCCCCTCAGAGCACACAGGACCGCAGACAGCGTGTTCTCCTGCCTGAAAACACACGCTCGCATCAATTAGGGGCAGGAGGAGAACACTCCCCAGGTGGGGGGTGCTCGGGGACCGGGGTGGACTCGGTATCCGTGCCATGGTGCTCGCCCTCCGGGCACCCTGACCCCACAGCCTGCCCTGGCAGCCCCCACACGCGGCTGGGGGCCGTGGGGATGGGGGCTGCTGGTGGAGAGGCTCTGCAGATGCCTCCCCCAGGGCTGGGGGTCTCTGGGGGGGGAGGACGGCTGCCGGCTCCATCACCCTGGCAACCCCATCCTGCACCCGGCGGTAATTAAAAGGCCGGCTCTGCAGGGAAGGCGCAGGGCCAGGTGGATAACAGGCTCCTGGGCTCTCGGAGCCAGCTGAGGACAAGGCAGGCTGACAAGCCCACTGAGCTTCTTCCTTCTCACTGCAATGACCTTTTCCTCCCAAAGCTGTCCTGTGATGAGCCCGATAACGGCGGGTTTCTCTCTCCTTAGGAGGATTTTCCATCGCACTGCTGCACTGTCAACTCCTCAGAAACACAGGCGTGAAAAATAAAGGGAAATGGGTACGGGGCTGATCTCCACCGGGGGTGTCAAAGCTGTTCGACATCTTGGACCCAAATTCAAGAACTGCAGCCAGTCCTTGCTGGGGGAGCTGCACGTTGGACCTCTCCCATCCGCAGTCATTGCCCAAAATCACCAGCTGCAGGCACAGAGGCTGCCTGGCCACCCCCAGAGCCGTGCTGCCCCCCCAGCCCGTGCCAGCCCCTCCAGCCCCAGCGGGGCTGGCACCAGGTCCGCAGGGATCACGGTGCCGCGGCGGGTGCCCGGCTGGCAGCAGGACCGGTGTCGGTGGCACCGGCAGGACGCCGTGCGCTTGGCTTGGCCGTCCTTCCTTCCCAGGCAACCTTTCAGCCCAGATGGGAGCGCCATAAGGAGTTTTGTTTCCTTCCCAAAACACAGGGCGCACGCTCTGCCTGGCGAGGTGTCTGTGCGGGGCTGCTCTGCTTAGCGCAAGGCACCAGCTCCGTGCTCCCCTCCCCTGGGGGGCAGCTGGGGGGGAGCTACCTGCCCTGCTGGGCTTTGGGCTCAGCCGCAGCAGAGCTGCACCCTGATGCCTTCTGGTTCTGGGACATCGCATCCCTGCGCAAAAGGGCTGATGTGATCCGTGCCAAAAGGGTAGAGAAGGCGCAGGTGGGCTCTGCTCTTTAACCTCCTGCTCTAAAAGCCAAGCATCGCACCAACACCTTCAATATCCTTGTCCCTCCTGCTGGGCTGGATCTGGTGTGGTGCCTCCAGCCCCACGGGACGCAACGAGGAGCTGCCAGCCTGGTTTTCTCAGTGTTTAAAACCTGCCTTCACGTTCTCTGCTATGAAACACAGCCATGGTTTTTGCTTTACAAGTGTGATTGCCTATAACAGCATGAAATTACAGCCAGAACTGATCAGCCTGGCAGCAGATAAGGGAAGCTGTCAAGTGTGGCAGCGTGTTATTACACAGGGGGATCGGAAGGAGGGGGCTGCCAGCCCCCGGCGAGCGGCTCCAGGCTGAGCGGCTGCGCCAGGAGAGGCCGGAGGGACCCGGCGGTGCTCCTGGGGGCTGGCAGCGAGGGAGATGGGAGGGTCCGGAGGGGGCTGAGGACAACGTGTGCTTGGAAGGGCTCAGACATGGAGTGCACCTGCTGTAGAGGCACAGATCAGGTGCCCAGAAGAGCAGTGCTTGAATACAAGCACTGCGTGCGCGCAGGCACCTCACGTGTCCACACTGCATCTGAACTCGTGCAGCGCGTCCTGGCTGCTTGTGGTCACACACCAGGCAGGGTGTACGTGGGTGGGATGGGGTGGTCACTGGGCACGGTATTGCAAACATTCGGGGCTGCACGTGCCATTTTCTGGCTCTGAGGATGAGGAGACAATGAGCTGCACCAGCCAAGGGGCTGAGCACGCAGCACGCAGCGTGCCGCTCCTGCAGCCACAGCGATTCCCCTCTCATGCTTCTTCAGAAATGACTTCTGGTGAAGGCTTCGCATTTGTTTCCTGTTCTGTACGTGTGGTGGCAGATTTGCAGTGTGCGTGCCCCTGCTTAGTGCGGCCTCTTCTGCTCCTGCAAAGCCCTCCAGCATCACCAGAGCTCCCCTGGATGTGAAGGTCTCCACCACCCTTGCAGAGCCCTGCAGCTCCGTGCCTGGGGAGGGCTCCTGCGAGGCTGCCCCTGCCCGCCCCGGCACAGCCAGGAGCTGCTGTGCGCTCAGCAGCAAGCACGCACCGAACAAATCTCTTTGGGATTACTGAGCCCGTGTTTGAAGGCGGCGGTGGAGGGATCCTCGCATGCAGTCACAAATTGCTCTTTACGCACAGCCTTGTAATGCCGCGCGGTCCCTGCGGCTGCTCTCGGTGCGGTGGCAGTGCCAGGCTCCCCGCTGGAGGATCCCGCTGGTGCCGACACGGCTCTGTGCAAGCTTCCTCCTGGCTCACTGCCGTGTCCCACAGCTCCCTAAAACCACTCATCCCTGGCGCTTCCTGCTTTGGGAACTCTTTTACACTCTAGAGGAAAAGTCTCCGTTTACTCATCGCTGCTCTGAGTCCAGGCGCAGTGCGGGTGCTGCCTGGAGCTGGGTTACCAGAGCCCGAGGTCACTGCTGGTGGTGGGTGGCAGTGTGTTGTCTGCGGGGCTGAATCGAGCACAGAAGAGGAAAGTAGAAGGCTCTGACCAGACCAGAAACAAGCCAGAACCCAAGGCAGTGCTGCCCACACAGCCCCCGAGATGCAGAATGGCAGCGGGGCGCACAGGGGGCTCCTGCTCCTGGGCTCGGTGCGAGCGGCAGTGGGGCAGGGTGAGGGAATGCCCCCTCGCTGTGCTGGGGAGCTGCCCGGGGTTACCTCATACCTGGGTGTTCAGCGTGTGTGTCTGATCAGCTGATGACCCAACACACGAGCAGGAGGTATCATCTTGGTTTTCTCCTGGGATTACTTTTATTTTCTTGGCTCTCTGCAGGAATGGCTGTTGGAGGGGTAGGCAGGGCGAGCAGGATGCTGCACCTTGAAGCAAAGTTAAAGGGAGGCAAGAACCTGAGCAAGGAAAGGTTCTGGGGCAGTTAGGAGGAAGATTTTCCTGTCTCCAGCTGGCTGCTGGCTCGAGGACTGCATTAGCATTGACCTCAGGTATGTCGAGCAGCAGAAATTTCCTAACTCAGCACCAGATCGTGCCTGACTCTAAATCTTGCCTAGCACTGGGTGCATCAATAGCACCTGTCTCGCAGGAGTGTTTAGGGGCTAGATTAATCAATGTCTGCAGAAACACATTCATATCCAGAGATGGATGGTGCTCCCTCAGCACGAAGCACTATTGTGCTTGCTAATTGTGCGCTGTGTACAAACGTGGCATCTGGAAGCACCTCGGGCGGAACAAATGCTCTGCCGAGCAGGATCCCATCCCCTCTGCCCTGATCCCTGCGAGGGAAGGGGAAGCTCAGAGCCTGGGCAGGGGGAAAAAAAGGCTCACCAGCCCCTCAGCCGGGCAGCAGGGGTGCAGCAGTGCCGGGCAGCACCTCCCTGCCCTCCCTGCAGCGCTCCCCCAGGCAGCAGGTGGGTGCCCTGGGGTGGGCTGGGACCCTGGCGCTGTGCAGGGCACGTGAGTTGCAAATTCAAATTCCTGCCACTTGCAGCAATTAATAATACAGGACAAAAGCAGGCTCTTCCCCTCTGCAGGCTCCCGCACTGCTTTGGCCTTGAGATGTTTTTTCTGCACGTGAGCAAGAGCCAAAATGAACACGGAATGGGAAGTGCCCTCTCCCAGGAGCTCTTCTCCAGGCTCCACTTGGTGTTATAATGATCCAATCCATCTCGGGAGGCTTCAAATACTTATTAATTAATGCGATGATTGGGTGATTTGGCCATCATTACAGCTGTCTTTCACGGGGCGAAAGAAAAGCATGTTTCTTCCTTGTTTTTCTAACGCCTGGCATTCTGCTGGCATGCTGCTCCTCCGCCACGGAACACAATGTGAAAGCAGGGTGACTCACAGTCAAGGATTTGTATTCAATATCAGTTCAGATTGCATTAGCTTTGCCTAATGCCTTAGCAATAAAGTGACTCTTCATTGTATAGCTGCAATTTATTTCAGCTCCTGGCTTGGAGAAGAACGAGCATCAGTCACGCCGCAGCACGTGTGCCCCGCACCGACCACGCACGGGGCAGGGGGCTGGGATCTGGTGCCTCCACGGGGCGAGCTGGGGGCAGGACCGTGCCTGCTGTGGGTGCCCGGGGTGTGAAGCCACCCGAAGTCCCAAACGCTGCTCTCCTGGGAGCAGCAGAGCTGCAGGACCTGGGGGCTGATGGCAGCGAGATCGCAGCCTGAATGCCAGGCGCTGTTTTCTGCCGCTCGTCCCTCTTTGTTCGATCTGGGTTACTTGGTAAATTAGGTGCCAGCCAGGAAAAATGCATTTTAATACAGTTCAAGGCACCGTGATCTAGAGACAGAAAATATAGGCCATGCTTACAAGCTGGGAGGCCACGTCCCAGAAAGCATCATGTGTGAAAGTAGTTTTGAGGCTGTAGGAATGAAGCACCCCAACGTGCGCCCATGGAGCTGCGCGGGGCCCTGTGGCTGTGACACCCCCTCTGTGCTGGGGGAAGCCTTTCCTGGGCCCCTTAACCCAACAAAAGCGTAAGGAGAGCTAATGACTGGAAGCTGGAGCCAGGCACACTTAAATGGGAACAGAGGACACGTTTCTGATAGTGAGGGTAATTACCCACTGGGACAAACTATCAAGGGGGAGTGGTGCTGTCTCCAGCTCCTGGAGCTTTCCGACTAAGATGGGAAGTTTCTCTCGAGAAGCTTTGCTCAAACACAACTGACTGGGCTCTGTCCAGCAGTAGGACAGGAAGAATCAAATCACCTGTGCTGGACTGCTGTCCTGGGCCCTGCAGCATCCCTCTGGCCTTAAATTCAGCGCAGCCACGTTTGGATGAGTGTGGCTGAAGCCTTAGGGCCAGGTCCTGTCCGTCTGCCCGGGGCTGCAGAGGCCGTGCTTGATCCAAAGCTGTCCCCGAGTGTTTGGGGTCAAACCGCTCAGACCCCTGTGTGAGCTGGGGCCGAGCTGGGCAGCAAAGTCAACCACGGAGCTGCTCCGCTGAGCTTAGTCCTGTTAATTACGGCGTGATTAAATACAAGCAGTAATTCCTTCCACACCTCCACACTCCTGCTTTATTGCAGGCGAGCCCACGCAACAAATTCACGTTTAAATAATGGCTTTTCTTCCCAGGCTCCAGAGAGGAGTTTCCCGGCGATCTGTATCTGCCAGGTGAGCTCCTCGGTGTGATGCCAGCACGCGCTGCCTCGGAGATGGCCTGGTGCTTTTTGCACTTGAGCTGCAAGTTTTGCAAATAGAGGAACGCAGGGAATTTCAGCACCGATTTTCAAAGTTTTCCATCTCTGTTTATCAGCAGGTTCCAGCTGAGCGTGCCTTTTAATGAACAGCCTCTCCACGCAAAGGGCTGCGCTGTCTGCAGCCTCGGTATCAAGCAGGGCGCAGTGCCGTGCGAGCGCAGCGATGAAGAAAAGCCCCGGGACGTGGGGCTCGTCGTTTCCCGAGTCGCCGATCTCCTTGGTTACAGCAACTCCCCTCAACACACAACGCAACCGCGCTGCCCGAGCTCAGGCTGCCAGCAGCAGCCCCTCAGCTGGAGAGCTGGGATCCCGGCTTTGTGGGGAGCTCCCCGCAGTCTGGCACCGCCTCGCAGGGCTCCGGGGACACGTGGCAGCACGGGAAGGCTGCTGTGTGCTGGGAGGGCTCCTGCAGGTGCTCACAGCCGCTTTGCAGAGGCGTCGCTCAGCAGCTGCAGCGTTGGCACCGCTGTCGGGGCAGCGCTGACGAGCGCGATCCCAATTACCGCGAGCTGCTGGGGCAGGGTGCTGAGCCACAACCGCTCCACGCCGTGTCAGGGACGAGGATGGCTTTGGGCAGCTGGCTGCTCCTTCTGTGCAGAGCTGGCCCCGGGGGTGCCAGCAGGGTGGTTGTGGGGCTGTGGGCTCAGCTCCCTGCCCTGGCACGGCTGCAGCACCGTGCCCACACGGCGAGGCTCCTGCAGCGCCCTGCGGCTGCCAGGGCATGGGCAGAGGGACCCGACTGCCTCCCCTGCACACAGCCCGGCCACAGCACCCCAAACTGCCAGCTCTGTGTTCCAAACCTCGCTTCTGCTTCTCCCCCCTTGGTTTCCTGGAGGGTGAAGTCTCTGCCAGACAGCAGCGGCTCTGAGGAGGAGCCTCCAAACCCCCGGCTTTTGCTGCAAACAAAGGGCTCGTTTCCACACGCTGCCTGTGTGGGGAGATTTCCCCAGCCAAACCTGCTGTGCTGTGCAGGAGCCCTGCAGCATCCTCATCTGCAGGCTGGAGCAGGAGAGGAGGCAGACGCAGCACCAGGCAGGAGGGATCTCGGCACAGAAGCCCAAAAGCGGAGCTCCTTTCCTCCAGCCTGCGCTGCTGGGCAGGGATTTAGGATAAGCCTGGCAGCAAGAGCAGCCAAGGGCCGTCCTGTGACAATTTCTTCAAGGTCTCAGCAGCAGCAGGAGGCTGCAGACCTGCAAAGTCAAAGTGGTCACCCCTGCACAGCTGCTGCTAATGCTCCTAATCGCTGTGAAATCCCAGGGATTTGCTGGCTGGGCACAGCCAGCGTGGTGCCTGTGGGGTCGGAGCAGCACCCATGCAGTCGGGGGGAGCCCTGTCCCGACCCCCACCCCGTGCTGCCCACCCCACCAGGGTGTGGGGCCGGCTGCTGCTCCCCTGCTGCTCCGTGCCCCATGGTCGCTGATGGTTGCATCGCTGCGGCCCAGCAGAAATATCAGCCTGCACAGAGGGCAGGAGGCTGTGGCCGTCAGGGATTTCTGTGCATGTTCCCCCGTTAATCTCTGTGAAAGTGAGAGCCAGGACTCGCCCTCACCCTCCCCTCCCACCCTCTCCCCTGCCCCAGTGGTCCAGCTGTGTTAGCACCGGTTATGAAATCACCTTGGGGCTGTGCCTCATAGCCCGGGCAGGGACAGATCCCATGCTTGGAGACCCGGCACCACCCCAGGGGTTGGACGGGGCAGCTGGGTTTTCCAGGAGCATTAGGAGAGGCAGTCGGTCCTGCGCAGGGTGCCCAGGACCTCTGCTGGCTGCTGGCTGGAGGAAGGAGGGGGCATTTCTGGCAGGCCCTCCCCAGCAGCATCCCCCCCAGCAGCATCTCTCCCAGCAGTGAGGGCAGCAGCTCATCCCCCCCCCGTGCAGCCGCACGGGTGCGCGAGCTCCCCTCCGTGTCCCGCGTTTCCACTCGCCACGCTAATTATAATCACTACATAATTCCTGAGCAACCTCCCCGCTGCGCTGTATTATTCATCGGGAAGCAGACAGGCTCTCGCAGCCCAGACAAGCTGCTCTGTGGTATTAACAAGAAAAGGATTAATTGACTGTTGGGAGCTACCAAAGGCTTCATGGAGGATGCGCTGCCCCTCGCGCCTGGCACGGCACCAAGCAGGCGGGCAGAGGGCTTGATTGGCCTTAGCTCTTGCCCAGCACCTCCCCGTGCAGCACTGGGGGTGCTGTGCAAACCAGCCACTTCTCTGCTCTGTCCCCTCGAGGCTGTGCAGCCTGGGCACGCTCTCGCTGAGCACCCCCAGTGCCCAAACCAGCAGCTCCCATCCCGTCCCCGCATCTCAGTGCAGCCACGGCAGCACCTGCTGGCTGGGAAGCGAGTGCAGGTCCTGGGGTCCCTCAGCCCCTTCCTAAGAACAGCCCCGATGAGAGGGGAGAGCAGCAGGCTGGGGCACCATGCCCAGCGGGGTGACCCTTGGGGTGTCCCTCATCCCTCATCCCTTGTCCCTTGCCCCTTGTCCCTCGTCCCCCGCTGCAGGGACAGGACAGCGCACAGCCGGCATGCGACAGACAGCAGCCAGGCGAGCCGCTAGCTGGCCAAAGCCTCCTGTAGCTATGGTAATGAACTACCATAATTCACAATTATAATGTCAAATTTAAACCTAGGGCTTGAGCAAAAAGATAAAAATATCTCTTTGCTCGTGGGATCTCAGTATTATTTGCTTAGCTATATTGGGAGCGAAACGCACTCTCTAGCATCAAGCAATCTCTCTGAGATTAAACACTTTCCTTCCATTTATGCACGTTTCACCCTTTTATAGTTTTATTAAAACGCTGGCTGCACTTTCAATTAAGTGAATCCCTTTTGTAATTGTAAGCACATTTCATATGAATAAATAATTAAATTTGTGGGGTGTTTTGGGCTCAAAACCGCAGTTGGCAATGTTAATGCGAAACCGCTTCAAGGGTGCACAGCTCAGCCCCGGCGGAGGGGAGGGCCGGCTCCATCCCGGGGCTGCTGAGCACCACTCTGCTGAGCATGGGGGCTGCTGCTGCTGCCCCCCTGCCTGGCCAGGGGTCTGGGATGTCCGATCAAAGCCCTCAGCACTTTGCTGGATCCAGACCTCCCCACGGCTCTGCCAGCCACCCCACGGCTCGGTGCTGCCTGTGTCTTCCCATCCTATGCGCACCCATCCTCAGGCGCTGTCACCAGCCATCCATCAGGTAATTGTGCTCCACACCTTCCATCTGAGGAGCCCAAAGCCCTCTGTAAATATTAATTAATTATCAAAGCTGCACAGCTTGCACTCCGCGAAACTCGCAGTCATCTTTTCACTGAATTTCACACGAAAAAATCTGTCTGTTTTCTGCCATTCCCTCACCTCCAAATGTTGCTTTCCTGGCGCTTTCCATGAAGCACATGTCCACACTTGCAGCTCAGAGCCCCTTTGCCCTGGATGCTGACCTGTGCTCCCCCTGCCCAGGCTCCCTGACCTGCCCAGGTCCCTGGGGGCTCCTGCACCCCCCCTGCACCCTCTCCTGCGGCTCTGTGCCCGCCAGCTCCGAGCAGACCCCACCTTGGCGAGAGGAGAGCTGGGGAACGTCTGCAGAGCAGAACAGTTTTGTCCTGTCGGATGGTAGCTGACAAAGCTCGTGCTGCTGGAAAGTAATCAAAGTGGACAGGTACCAAGCCCCGCGATCTCTGTCTTCCAGTAACAAGACTTTGAGCTATTTTTAATGTGACAGCAAAACACAGCAGAAGTGTGATCGTCTCCTCTCACAGCTGCAGGGCACAGCGATCTCCACGGGGCCATCTCCCAAGGCACAGTTCTTCTTCCTCAGCCTCTCGAGCCAGCAGCCCCGCAGACGAGAACATTAATATTCATTTTAAAAAGCATTTTTGGCATCAACAGTTTGCCCCAGTTTTGGATTTTGCAGTTGTTCCTATAAGTGATGTCTGGGTGGATTGAATTTGTATCGCAATGCTGACGCTCCGCAATAGGAATGCAAATGAACCTGGGGGTAGTTATTTTCTTCTGCTGTTTTTCTTCTTCCCTTTCAAACCCTCCATCTCTTCCAGGGCCCCCTAATGCCAGGACATTACTCTGGAAAGGTTCCTATTGTGGAAACTTTTCTCACCAGCTGGTTTGCAATGCGCCGCACCAGCACAAGGACCTTTAGCTGTAATTAAGCTCTGGCTGTTCTTCCAGGGCTGCAACTCAAAGAAATACAGCACTTTCCACTCAGACGAGCAGCTTGACAGCAAGCCGTGGAAAAACAGCACGAGAACCATGGGCTGTGCTGGGATCAGTGCCCCTCGGCTGTGCCACAAGCAGCACGAGGTCGGCAGGGTCCCCGCTGGGGTCCCCGCTTGGTTTAGCAGTGGGGAGCCCAGCAGTGGGGGCTGCCTCTGGCACTTCTTGCACTCACGCTTCTCACACTGCTATGTCGTGTTCCTCGGTGAGCAGCCGGTGGGTGTAGGACCCACTTTGAGGCTGGATCCTGGCGCCAGCACTATCTGAAGCCCTGGGCATCCCTGCAGGGCGCAGGTCAGGGCGCTGCCACTCTGACCCCCCAAAACCTCCCCCAGAGCTGTGCAAGCATCCCTCGCATCCCTCACCTCCTCCAGCCCCGTCCGTGGCTCCCTCTGCTCCTGGGCACTGGAGGAGAGGCCATGCCCTGCCACCAGGCCTCACAGCATAAAGCAGTAAAGCAGTCACCACGTACATTCATTAGCACAGTACAAGTTATTAGAAGTGACCTCTAACTGCCTGGTGAAATGTAATTGTATTGAGTTTGCCTTGCAGCGCGCAGTGATTTTGCTCAACGAGCAAGGAGGCACATCAGTGAGCCGCTGGTAAATATTCTCTCTGGGTACCCAGGGGAACGTCCTGCATGGCACCACATTCAGAAAAATACAAATTAAAAAAAGAAAAAAGAAAAGAAAAAAGAAAAAATCAATTATAACGATAGCAGAGTTCAGGCAAAATTGCCTTTAGTGAGAAGTGGAAAATGGAACGAAGATAATCACACTGTGTTTTTCCTAATGGAGCAGGCTTCTGATGACATACCAGGCACCTCCATAACGCACACAGCTCATCATTCACCCAAAGCACACAACACATCCTGGACCTTTCAAGTTGAGACACACACAGACACAGACAGCCCCAGCCCCGAGGGAATTGCCCTCCTGCTTGCAGCCCGGCCAGCACGCACAGGGCAGCAGCGAGCACGTGGCAGGGTTTAAATATTCCCCAAATGCCCCAAGCGCACCGGGCTGTGCCGGGAGCCCCTCTGGAGCTCCGTGCGCCGCTGCCACCAGCACTGCAGGAGGGGTAGGGCTGGCTCACGCTGATGCAGCAGCTCTAGCAGGGCTTCGGGCAGGGTGACAGCCAGCCCTAGCCCTGGCACAACAAAACCAGTCTGACAGATGGCCCCAAATCTGCCGGCAGCTCGGCCCCGACGCACGGAGCAAGGCGAGCAGCAGGGAGCCCTGCATGGTGTGTGCATCCTGCTGCCTCCAGACAGCCTCATCCTGGGTGCTGGGGGGGTTCTGCAGGGACCGAGCCACCCTCAGAGCCCCACATGGTGCAGGGACATCATCCATAGGGTGATGTGGGGACACCAACCCCATGCTGCTGGGTAGATGCGTGCTCGGAGGAAGGATGGCCACAGCCAGCAGCTTTGGAGGGCCCAGGCCACACTTGTTTCCCATCCAGCTGTGCCACAGCAACCCAGCCATGCCCCCACCTCATTGCAGGGTGAATTCCCAAGCCCGTTTGATGTTACCAATAGATTGCTGTAAGGGATGGGGGCTTGGCTGCTGCCAGAGCTGCCGAGGAGTGAGGCCCTGGAGCGCAAGAGCAGCCACAATGGCAGACATTTAGGGTAGAAAGAGGAGGTTTCCATGCCTGTTGAGCTGCCTACAGGAGGAATAATTTCAATTATATCTCCCTTTTGGAAGGGACACGTTTAACGGGCAGAGAGGCTGTGTGCACGCAGCAGTTTGGTATTAGCTCAGCGCAT